CAGATGATCTAGCGAAGATTTTAGCTCAGCTTTTAGAAAGTCTGGGAATGTGCAGACTCCGCCACCAAGAGTGTAACTTGGCAAGTCACTAACATCTGGGTTCCTATCACCTTTCTTCCAGAATATATTAAGGCCCAAATCCTCCAAGTGGATCTGATGCAAAACTTTTGCAGGCATCAACAATTGGACGGTAGCCAGTGCATCTGCACAAGTTGCCAGAGAAAGCCTTCTCTACTTCTGATACTTTTAGTTTTGAAAACCCCTTTGGTGGTTCAGGCCTCTTGGATTTGTCAGCATTGATAAGAGAAGTGAAAATAGACATGCACATTCCAGGAGTGCAGAAGCCACACTGAGAGGCATGAAACCCAGACATCCTTTCCTGAACAGCATGAAAGCCATCTTTGGTATTCCCCAGACCCTCAGTAGTGATAATTGAACAGAAATTTATATTGTAAAGAAGTGTCAGGCATGAACTTGCAGTAAATTCAGTGACTTCATCTGTCTTTGGGTTATACTTTGCTATAAGGACAACACAAGCTTCACAACCGCCTGCAATATGAATTAGGGAGAAAAGTTATACTAAATATACCGTCATAGATGTGCAAGAATAGGCTGAACTGAAATATCTGAATCTTACTGACTAAAATAACCAAATATGTGCGTTAAAAAAAACAAATATATTGTGATTTGATTTGCCCCGATTGGCAAAGATTTTTTTATTCCAAATCTGAATTCAAATCCCCAAAAAACAACAAATATAGTCACACAAGGTGATGGAGATGTAACAAATTAATTCAGTTTGCAAAATAACAATTTTAAGAACTATATATTTATTCAATTCCCGACTTTTAATAACATTCACAGATATTAACATGTCACAAGACTTGAAAAGTAAGAAGGGTCACGGTCATACGAACATAGGTATATGCATGCTTCTTTTTCAGAAGAGATACTTCGAACATTGTATTTTAGAGGCCTTCCCATGCAGTTCTAAGGGACTTGTCCAACAACTTCCTAAATCCTGCAATTTCGCACCACCAGGCAGATAGCCCGCTCCCTCCTTTGCTGGACCGAAAAATTCCTATCTATTTTTTTCCACGCGGGAAACCCCATTTCCATTAGAGAAAACGGAAATACACAACATTCCAAAGATTACAGACAGATGCCAGAAGAGAGCATTCAGAAGTATCATACTACTACTGAACTGACTGAGCACAGCCTAAACTGGAACCACTAACCAACAGAAGCCAGACTCTGCCTGACCCAAAAACCAACAAGAGCGCCACATAGTTTTTCGCTCAGCCATTACAAGAACTGACAAGATAAGAAAAACATCCATCCGGCAAAAGACTAACAACACCCAGAAGCCATTTTACTTTCAGTTTCCACAGACTGTCACATTCCATCATTCTGACCATCTCGAAGTCTTGGAGTTACGCAGAGTCTTCAGCCTGCTCCGACTGATTGCCATCTTCCAGAAGCAGCTGATTCACCTGTCTTGTGGTTTGAGCCGCGAGGACTTCCTTGGCGACCCTTAGCATTGTACTGGCGCCCTCGATCAACTGATCTCTATCAAGCTCTGCAAATAGACCTGACCAATAAATCATGAGCGCGCAAGCATGACATATTATTTCCAGAGGATTCTTCACAACTTTCTTCTCAAACACCACTTTGTTTCTGCATTTCCACAACGCCCAGCAAATGGCAGACACCCCCAGGGGTGAAACTTCTTACCAAATGGAAACCACCTCTCACACCACAGCCAACATTGCTCGAGATTTGTAGGAACATTAGGAGCTCCAAAACACTTAGCCACTACCACCCAGATAATCTTAGCAACAGGGCATTGGAAAAAAAGGTGAGAAACAGTCTCAATAGAATCACAAAACACACAACTAGGATCCCCTTGCCAGTTCCTTTTCCTCAGATTTTCTTTAGTTAGAATAGCATCATTTGCTAAAAGCCACAGAAAAATCTTAATTTTCTCTGGAATCTTACCTTTCCAGTTTCGTTTGTGATATATTCCGGTATGAGAATTTGTAAGAGCATCATATACTGATTTAACAGTAAACTTTCCTTTCTTCCCAATTTTCCACAAGACCGTGTCATCTCTATCAACTACCTGGATGTTTATAGTATCCTGTAAAATCCTATTCCAGCTAGTTCTTAAGTTATCAAAAAGCCATCTCCTAAATGTAATTGCCGAACCACTTAAGAAATGAGCAACAGTAATTTCTTTGTTCTCACAGAGTTCAAATAAAAGGGGAGCAGATAAATATAAAGGATCCTTATATACCCAGGGATCAAGCCAAAATCTAGTTAAGTTCCCTTTCCCAAAGGACACACTTCTGCCTTGAAAATAAATGTCTTTGACTTTTAACAAATCAGCCCAAATTGGAGAATCATTTAGTCTGTGACTAACTTCATGAATTGATTTATTTTTCAGATATTTGTACTTAACTATTTCTTGCCACAGACCTTCCTCAGTTTCTAACCTCCACCACCATTTGCACATCAAGCTAATGTTCACCTTTCTCAGATCCTTAATCCCCAAACCCCCTTTCTTCTTGTTTTTGCAAATTGTTTCCCATTTATCAAATGATACTTCTTTTTGGTTCCACCACCTTGCCAGAAAAAAGTTCTCCTAGTCTTGTCCATGATACTGATGGTTGACTTAGGAAGTAGATAAACCGACATATGATATATTGGGGAATTAGTCAAACTGGCACTTATGAGGGTTGATCTTCCAGCAATGGATAGAGTACCACCTTCCAAACATCCAGCCTTTTATTTCCTTTCTCAACTAATGGCAACCAATCACTAACTTTAAGCCTGCTCAGGCTAACAGGTACCCCCAAATATTTAATGGGAAAAGAACCAATCTGACAGTTAAAAGTTTCAGCATACTGTTGGCCCCAATTTTCCTCATCATTTATCATCAGAATTTCACTCTTATTGAAGTTGATTTTGAGCCCAGCAAGCATCTCAAACAAGTATAACAGGAGTTTCATATGAGTAGCTCCATCCAAATCATGTTTAAGAAAAAGAATAGTATCATCCGCATATTGTAAAATTGCCACAAATAATATGACTAATCAAACCTGTAACTAAGTTATTCTCTTGAGCTTTATGAATCATTCTAGTCAAACAATCGGCCACAAAATTGAAAAGGTAGGAGATAATGGGTCCCCTTGCCTAACTCCTTTGTAACTTTTGATGTAAGTTCCAATCTTATTATTCACCTTAACACTAACAGTACCTCCCGAAACAACTTGTTTTATCCAGAAACACCATTTACTATGAAAACCCCTTTTCTCCATGCATTCAAATAATAGTTTCCAATTCACCTTGTCGTATGCTTTTTCGAAGTCCACCTTTAACACAATTCCAGTTTCCTTTCTCCTTTTTGTCTCATGAATGATTTCATGTAAACACATGATTCCCATCATGATATTTCCGTTTTTCATAAAGGCCGTTTGAGTGTTATGGATCAACTTATCAGCTACTGATTCCAAAGTTCGGCTAGGCGGCGGCGCCTAGTACCCGCCACCGCGACTAGGCGCATCACGCGCGCTAGTCGCGAGGGGCGAAGCCCGCGAGGCGCGAGATGAGCCGCGAGGGGCATAGTCGCGCATCGCGCGCTTAGGCGGAGCTAGAGACCCAGCGCTGGAGGATTTGAAGGAGCACGCGGCGCTCATCCCGCCTCTGCTCCGCACTCCGCGCTCCCCGCGCGGGTCCGCCGAGATGAGCGAGCTTGAGCTTGAGGGCGGCCAGTTTTGGCGCCATGAACCCCTCGGAGCAAAGTGAGGAATTCCTCCTTCCCTCCATGCCACGAGACCATCTCCCACCACTCTTGAATTTGGAGGATTAGAAGGAGCATGGCGCCATTCTTAGATGATGTTGGATGGGAATATGGTGTTCCCGCCAAGGACCAAGCTCCTCAAGGAAATGAGAGGAGGGATTCATAGGTTGAAGGAGCGCTGGTCCTCCTCCTGGAGGCTTGCTCTGATGCAAAAAAAGGAAGAGGGAGGAGAAGACCTCTCCTAGAGAGGAAGTTCTCCTGAAGTCACCATGTTCCTCAGAGCCTCCTCCATTGACAAATGGCTGATCCTCCTACGTCGTCGATTCAAGCAAGCTAAACAAGGAACTTTGAAAAGAAAGAACCAATGAGGTCCCGTACATTGCAAGATGGGCCGATACACATGGTAAATTGCTAGTATACCTGTTTTTACATTTCAAAGTTCATTAGATGTTGGCATCGGGAACACTAATTATGCTTCTTTCAATGTTGTGTTGGCAGGAATTGCTTTCAATGCATGTGATAATGATGAGTTCAAGCAAATGTGCGAAGCAATTGGACGATTTGGTCCGGGACTTGTACCTCCAACTCAGGATGCCCTCACCAATTGTGCTGATGGAACCTCCCTCCCCGCTGAGGCCACCCAAAGTCCCCAAGGTGAGCTCCTTCCTCCCATCCCTCCCTCTCCATATTTTGGACCCCTCTCCACCTTATGCTCCAAGGAATTGGCAACATGACTCGGTTCAAGTGGTTGACCCTTACCATATTTGTCTATGGCCACACAAGGACTCATCACAGAGGGGAAAGAGGTAGTGAGGCTAGAAGTGACTAGGTTTGCTTCAAACTTTCTCATTTGAATTCATTGGTGAACTCTTGAATTTGAATGTCAAAGGATGTCGTTTCATTTATGGAGAACTAAGGTGTTCAACGCATCGACAAGAAGATGCACTTGACATTGAATGACCTATTTCGAGGCAACTAATCTCTTTGATCAGCCCAAAATAAAAGGAACTGTTGAGAAATTTTATTATCAGATGATGTTGGATGGGAATATGGTGTTCTTGTTGATGCTAGCAACAAGGACAAGGTGAAGTGCAAGCTCTGTGACAAGGAGATGAGAGGAGGATTCATAGGTTGAAGGAGCATTTGGCTCATGAAGGAAAGAATGTGAAGAAATGCACAAGAAGAACACCACAAGGCTATGGAGGCTAAAGAGAAGTGCAAGAAGGCACTAGCTGATGCAAAAAGGAAGAGGGAGGAGAAGACTGTTCGTGAGCTAGAAATTAGAGAGGAAGTTCATGTATCTAGGGTTGGAACAGATTCAGATGAAGTCACCTGTGTTGGAAGTTCAGAGCCCCACAAATTAGGACCCATTGACAAATGGACACGTGCTATTGATCCTAAAGCTACCAAGTCGATTCTTTGAAGCAAAGCAATCGACCGGGGTTGAACAAGGAACTTTGGAAAGAAAGAACCAATGAGGTACATAAGTACATTGCAAGATGGGCCTATACACATGGTAAATTGCTAGTATACTATGTTGTTTTTACATTTCAAAGTTCATTAGATGTTTTCCTATACTGAACACTAATTATGCTTCTTTCAATGTTGTGTTGGCATGCCGAGAATTGCTTTCAATGCATGTGATAATGATGAGTTCAAGCAAATGTGTGAAGCAATTGGACAAGATTTGGTCAGGACTTGTACCTCCAACTCGGAGGATGCAATCGCGAGGGAAGTTACTGGAAGAAGAATATGAAAGAACCAAGAGTTTGCTGCAGGAGTGTGAAGCCGAGAAGATGAAAAATGGGTGTTCTATTATGACTGATGCTTGGTCAGATAGGAAGAGGAGAAGCATAATGAATCATGGCACCAATTGTGCTTGATGGAACCTCCTTCATCAGCTCTAAGGAGATGTCACATGTCTCACATACCAATGAGGTCATCTTTGATCTTGTGGACAAAGCAATTGAAGAGATTGGTCCGGACAATGTGGTGCAAGCGAAGTTGTTTGACAATGCCTCTAACAACATGGGAGCAAAGAGGCTATTGGAAAGAGAAGAGACACACATATTTTGGACCTCTTGTGCAACTCACACAATCAACCTTATGCTCCAAGGAATTGGCAACATGACTCGGTTCAAGAAAGTGGTTGACCAAGCAAAGGCATTTACCATATTTGTCTATGGCCACACAAGGACATTGGAGTGCTTGAGATACTTCACAGAGGGGAAAGAGGTAGTGAGGCCAGGAGGACTAGGTTTGCTTCAAACTTTCTTACTTTGAGTAGCATGCAAGAGAAGAAGGACATTATTGAGTTGAAAAATATGAGCTTAAGAAAGATGGTGGTTCATAGTAGGTGGGACTCATTGAAGGATGTGAAATCAAAGAAAGGAAAAGAGGCAACAAGCAACTATATTGAGTCCAAGCTTTTGGAAGGATGTGAAGCTAACATTGATTGTTTTGAGCCATTGGTCAAAGTCCTCCGTTTGGTTGATGGGGTGTGAGGCCATCCATGGGTTTCCTTTATGGAGAACTACTAAAGGCAAAGAGACGGAGATCAAAGAGGCATTTGGAAATGTTGAGGCTCGGTTCAAGGATGTAATAGGTGTTATTGACAAGAAGATGAATGGAAGACTTGATTCTCCATTGCATTTGATGAGTTCCCTATTTCTTTGAATCCTCACTATAGCTATAGTGACCCATCAATCTTTGATCAGCCCAAAATATCAGAAGGGTTTATAGCTTGTGTTGAGAAATTTTATTATCATGATGAGGACATGCAGCATCAGTCTGCCAACATTGAACTAAAGAAGTTTTAGAATAGAGAAGGACCCTTTAACAAGAAGCTTGCTAGGACTTTTGAAAACTTTGATTACAACCTAGGTAGAGGTATTTCAGCATCATGGTGGAGACTGTATGGATATAAAACACCAGCTTTATAGAAGATGGTTACAAGGATCCTATCTTTGACATCAAGCTCTTCTGGTTTTGAAAGAAATTGGAGTGGGTTTGAAGGGGTTAGTACCTATCTATTATGAACATTTCAGTTTCAGCAGCATTACAATTAAATTGTAGAACTGAGAATGCTCTTTTTAAATTGTAGATACACACTAAGAAGAGGAATAGACTTACTACAACCCGCCTCAACAAGTTGGTGTATATCCAATTCAACTCCAAGCTGCTTAGTAAGAGAGAAAAGATCAAGTCAAACAAAATCACTGATGTTCTCTTGTCTAGTGATACAACTGAAGCTCAAGGTTTTCTCCAAGAGGGTGGGGATGATTGTACATTAGTTGACTTTAGAGATGGGGAGGAAGCTAAGATAGAAGGTACAGGGATACCTTGGTCTGCCATTGGAGAGGCAGTGGGAGCAGATGAACAGCTTCAGCTGCGTAGAAGTGCAAGAGTGAGGGAGCTCTATGAAGGAGAAGAATTTGAGTCTGAAGAAGAAGAGTATGACGATGAGGATGTGTACTACAGTGAAGAAGAAATATGATCTGGACCATCTCCATCTAGTAGTGAAGCCTTTTGTGATGCCCCTGGTCTTATGAACTGCAATTTGTGTCACTTTGTGTCTCTGTGTGTCTTCTTTTGTGATTTGTGAGACCTGAACTAAGAACTATGTGCTTGTGCTGTCCTTTATTTATAAATTGTGTTGTGCACTTGTATTACTGTCCTATCCATTTGTATTGTAATTACCAGCTACTGATATGGTGTGCTCATGGATGGGAGGCTGCTGAAATCATCCAGATAAGTCACAACTTAGTGTTTTCTATTTTTTTTAATGAACAGCTAGCTGTCTATTGACTAATTTACTAACTACTAGCTGTCAAAATGTGTTACAGGAGCTAGAAACATGCAAAAGTAAGCCAGCTAGGAATCAGATATGTCTACTGGCCCTCTTTTTATACTTACTGTGCCTCATATATAGTAGTTATATACTTATATACATATATATAGTTATATACATAATATATATATAATTTATGACTATATTGCCAAAACACCTAGGAAAACGCCTAGGACCGAGTACTCCCGACTAGGCGCTAGGCAATGGGTCAACGCCTAGATTCCGCCTAGCGCCTAGCTGAACTTTGACTGATTCCAACCTGAGAGTTAATGTTTTTGTAATCAACTTGTATAAACAGTTTAATAAACATATAGGCCTAAATTGCTGAATCCTTGAAGCTTCTTTGATCTTTGGTAACAAAGTGATTATTCCATAGTTTATCCTACTAGTATCAACTTTTTTATTGTAAAAGTCATCAAATAATTGAATGATATCAGCCTTAACTATTTTCCAGCAACTTTGATAAAACTCAATTGGAATCTTATCTGGACCTGCAGCTTTATTTTTTTCCATTTGATCCAAAGCGTCCTTAATTTCTTGTTCAGTAAAAGGTTTACACAGGATATCATTATCATTGGAAGAAACTCTTGCTATGTTTGCCCAAATGTCAGAATCCATTTGTATTTCATACTCATTTGGTGGACCAAAAAGCTCGGTGTAATATTCAGTAAGCGTGTTTTAACAGATTTTCATCTCCTTCTATCACTTGACCCTCACTTTCCAAACTTATTATGCTATTCTTTCTCTTCCTACCATTTGCACATTTGTGGAAGTATGAAGTATTATTATCACCCTTGAGAAGCCAGGTCTCATGGGATCTTTCGTACCAATATAATTCTTCCTGTTCCAAACTTTTCAAATTTTCAACCAGTAACCATGTTTTCCTATCTATATATCAAGATATATATCAAGATATGTAAACCTAACCTAAATATGAAGTATCAAGAAATGTAAAGCTAACCTGAATCTCAAGCCGCACTAGATAGACAGGAAAAACAGAACACTGTTTCATTCTTTCATTACCCTGGTTTCACTGGTGGATGCAAAGGGCGCCACGAGGACCGAACGCACTGAGAAGGAGCTCGGTACTGTCAGCATCTCTGCCGCCAGTTCCGCCTCACCCACAGTGCTCCCTCGTTGCGCCGCCACGGCCCCTTTCCGAAGCGAGCTCATCTTATGGCAGCAGTCCGCAAAATCTGCGGCCCCCCAAACCCGCGGGCCACGGACAGGGAAGCCCGATCCCTTGCCGCCGCGCATCGGCGAAGCTAAGGCACAAGAATGGCGGGTCTGCTTCATGTGCCCTAGTCGAAGATCGCTAGAGAGCATGGAGGCTGGCAGGCAGCTCGCGCGCGACGACGTCTTGCGACGGTGCGAGGAAGGAAATGCGTGTTCAAGCTATTCGACGAAAAGCGTCAAAGCCATCGTGTAAGGCAAATTAGTAGTTTGGCTCCCGTCAAGTCAAATCATGTTTACAAATCTTATACTGTATATTTTTCAAAAAACTAAATTAAAGTAATAATACTCTTTCCGGTGATAAATAAGCTTCGAAGTCAACTATTCTACGCTTTAACTGCACACATACATTTTACATGTTGAATTTGAAAAAAAAATTACTATGTGCTATGCACGTATCCATATTCGGTAATGCTTACAATAGGACGTTCGTCCGGCTGGACATGACTTCCCAGACCATAGAAACTTCACCACTCGCCATAACTCTGTCCGTTCGCTCCCGCCTGCGCCGCGTGCCCTGGCTGCCATCCCCCGTCGCGCCCTCATCCCGTGCCACGCTGCTCCCCCATCCCACACCGTGCTGCGCCCCAGCCGTGTCGCACTCCATCTCCCGCTACGCCTCACTCCACCTCGGCGGGCGTGGCCACGGCGTGCACCGCGCCACCAGGAGAAGGTCGTCGTCGGCTGGGACATCGTCTCCCACAGTCGGGCAAAGACACCATGGCAGGAAGTCGTGCCACCACCCACCCGAGCTTGCTGCCGCTACTGCAGTTCCCCACCAAAAAGGTTGTGGCCTTCGCGATATGCGACCTCACCAAAGGAGATGTTGCGCTGAAAGAGTATGTTGCAAACCTATGTTTTCAAGTGTTTTAAGATGTTTCAAAGTTATTTTGCAGGTGTTTCATTTGAATGTTGCAAAAGTAGATCCGGATGTTGCATATGTTGCAAGTTCTTTAAAGGTATGTTGCAAGCGTTTATTTAAAATGTTTCATCTGTTTTCAAATGTATGTTGCAAGTGTTTGATCTGGATTTGCATATGTTTCACATATATGTTGCAAGCGTAGGTTTCAAATTATTTTTGCAAGTGTTTCATTTGGATATTGCAAATGTAGATCCATGTGTTGCATATGTTGCAAGTGCTTCAGAGTTATGTTGCAAGCGTTTGTTCAAAATGTTTAATATGTTTTCAGACGTATGTTGCAAGTGTTTGATCTGGATGTTGCATATGTTTTACACATATGTTGCAAGCTTATGTTTCAAATGTTTCAATTGTTTCAGTCGTATGTTGCAGCAAGTGCTTTTCATGTTACAAGTGTTTCATTCATGTGTTCAGACATATACTCTTGGATGGGACGGTCGGAGTTTGCGGCGCGCATCAAGGCGGGGGTGCAAACGCACGGAACAGGCGTAGGTGGTCCCCACGTGCGCGATACGAAGTGGGCGCAGGCCGTCTCTGCGAGGGTGTTTGATATGGTGGCCCAGCAGCCTGACTGCGTTCCCGGACTACAACTCCCTTGTTTGGTGCACCTTGCCCAGCCTATGAGTCTGCCCCTCACGGGATTTAAAGCATCTTGGCCCAAAGCCCAGAGAAACGAGGGGGGCTTCGTTTTTTCACCGGTCGGCTCGATCTAGCACACGAAGGGCCTTCGGTCACCTCCCATGCATCGTTCTCACCTTCTGTCTCTCACCCATTCACCACCGCCGCACCCCGTTCTCACGCGTGCCCGCACCACCTCCCGCACCGTTACTCGGGCACGAGAGGGCAAGGCCGCCGCCGCTCGCGCAAGCCGTTCGTGCTCGCCGCTTAGGCCAAGGCCATCCCCGCCGCTACAGCCAAGCTCGTCCGGGCACGCGTGCGGCAGCCGCCGCCGCGGCTAATCTACGTGCGCGCGCATGCCGACGCCGCCGCGCCGACGTTGGTGCTGCCGTGATGCAAACGCGTCCTGAGGAAGGTGTGGTCAGGGGCGCGCCCCGGCGCCGACAGCGTCCCACCCTTCACTGGCGCTCGTCCCCACGGCATCGCGAGGCCAAGGTGGGTGCGTCCGCGTTCGCCAGGCCGCTCGCGTCAGCTCTTCCGTGGTGGTGCACAGGGATATGCTGGACGCTGACGCTCTCCATATGTTCGACGAAATGGCTATGAGGAGGTAATGTTACCATGTTCTAAGTTTAGGGTGACCAGATTCTAGGGTACAGGCAACAAAAAACACGATCTGAACTGAGCTCGTCTCTATTGAAACACGACACCAAACACATGAGGTTGCACCGTTATGACCAGGCTCGAGCCGACGTCGACTAGGCCAGCCAGCCGAGCCACGTAGAGTCACGTTATCAAACACGCCCTGCGTGCATGCATGTGGGAAGCGAGAGGGGCGCGGGCGGTCCCCGCGTGCATGTGAAACGGAGCGGGCTCGGTGGTCCCCGTGTACATGCGGGCACGCATGACGGAGGAGGCGCAGGTGTCCGGACGTGCGCGTCCGTCTAGATGTCCGGGCCGCTAGTAACTCCATATCCATAGACCATATATATACTCCAACCCTCCATGTCCGAGCGCTAGCACGTCTTAAATCGCCTATGGAGATCTATGGACTATGGGGCCAACATCTGCCCGGACCCCAACCCTACCACACAGAGATGAAAAAGATAGAGGAATAAATCTCATATCGTCTTATTTGTATAGGTATCTTGCTAAATTTTTTTCGTATGCCGGAGATAATAATATATTAAAAGGATGAAATAGGGACATTGGATTTTAAAATGTGAAAAAGATAGAGGAATAAATCTCATATCGTCTTATTTGTATAGGTATCTTGCTAAATTTTTTTCGTATGCCGGAGATAATAATATATTAAAAGGATGAAATAGGGACATTGGATTTTAAAATGAAATAAAAATGATTTTCGTGTTTTTAGACTATTTTCACACTTTTGACTTTTTTTGCGGGGATATGCTGTCTTTTACGGTAACGTTAGATTTCTCAGTTTGTTTTTATGTGAGAGTGAGTCTAACGTCGTGAAATACTAAATTGTGAGAACATGAGAGATTGTGTTTGCGTTTTAGACTTGTGTCTATATTATATGTGACCACAAACAACGAACTATGGTCGGTTTGCGTTCAAAACCATGATTCTTAGTTCTATGGGACAGGGTTTTCGTTTTTCGTTTTATTTTGTTCTTTCCTCTTTTTGATCATTATCAAAGTGTTCATGATCATATTAGATTATTATTTTGTTTTCTATATCAACTAGATAGCGTGCCCGTGCGTTGCTACGTGATAACTAACAATTTATACTAAAAACACACGGATCGCACGATAAGATAACAATACTGTAAAAATTAAATACCAACGTTAAAGTGACATTTAATCCAAAAAGCAAAGTTTATGAATTTAACACAGTCACGGAGTGCACGGCGTCG